GGTTGCACAAGAAAAGTGAGATCTCACCCAGTCAGTCATTTCCTGAAAACCTTTTTCCCTTGCTCCCATACTTTCTCTTAAGTTTTGCCTCCAGTAGTTGATTGAGATAAGATGGCAGTAGCTGCATACTTCTGTCTTATCTCTCTTGTTTGGATCCCCTAGGGACAATGGCAAAGGAGATTGGAAAATATTGGCAGAGGTATGTAGGAAAGTAGATATCTCTGCCAGAGAGCTTGGCCTCTTCTTTCTTTCTTTTATTAATTAATTTTATTAAAGAATTGTTGACAGAATAAAAGCAATACAAATTTTAAAAAAGGAAACAAAGATAAAGAAAAGAAAGTAATCAGTAAATGAGAAAGAAATACAATGAAAGAGAAAGAAAATAAATAGAAAATTATAAAGAGTGACCAGCAATTATAAATGCATTTATATTTTATCCCCTCTCTAAGGTTAGACTGTGACTCCCTTCTTTCCGTAGCCTATCTTTTGTAATCATCCAACTCATAAATCACAAGTTGATTTTTTTTCTATTTTTAGCAAAAAGTTCATAAAGGGTTTCCAATTATTGACAAATGTAGTTACTGAGACCTTCTCTTTCTGATCAGTGAAGTGAAGCAAGCAGGCACCTCATGATCTCACTCATTGAACTTTACCCCTAGTGATGGTACTTTGATGTGCATAGATTAATCAAATTAATCAAATGACTAAATTAGTGCATTGGGCAAACACTGTAAACATAGTTTGCTTAGAGTACAGTAAAGCATTTGACAAAGTAGACCACAGCTGCCTCCTTGGTAAGATTGAAAACATGTTGGGTACACAAGATGGACTTAAAACTGGCTGACATTCAGCATGTAGTCCCCAATGGAATTACATCTACATGGAAAGAAGCATGAAATGGAGATAGCTCAAGGTTTTGTTTAGGCCTAGCACTCTTCAGCACCTTCAAAAATGATTTGGGTGAGGGAAACAGAATGGAAACTCATCAAATTTGCAGATGACACCAAGCTGGGAGGAATTGCCAACATCTTAGAAGATAGACTGGAGATTCAGAAAGATCTTGACAGACTTTATTATTGGGCTCTATCCAACAAGATGCAGTTCAGTGGTGAGAAAAGTAAGCTCCTGCACCTAGGCAAGTAAAATCAAATGTACAGATATAGAATAGGGTACCACACCTGGCTCAACAGTACTGAAAGGAATCTAGATGTCTTGGTGGACCACCACTAAATATGAATCAGCAATCTACTGCAGCTTCCAAAAAAGCCAAGGCAATCCTAGGGAGCATCAATATCACGAAAAGTAATAGTACACTAGTGAGGCTACACTTGGAATACTGCGTTAAGTTCTGGTTGCCACAGTACAAAAAAAAAGATGCTGAGTTCCTAGAAAAAGTGCAGGGAAGAGCAACAAAAATGATAAGGAGTCTGGAGACTAAACTGTATGATAAACAATTAAGGAAACTAGGGATGTCTTGCCTATCAAAGAGAAGAATTAGGAGTGATATGATAGCTGTGTTCCAGTATTTCAGAGGCTGTCACAGAGCCTCCAAAGCACCCGAGGGTAGGACAAGAAGTAACAAGTAGAAGATCATTAAAGAGAGATCTAACCTAGAATTAAGGAGATTGCCTGACACTAAAAACAAATAATGGAACAACTGGTCTCCAGAAGTTGTGGATGCTTCATCACTGGAGGTTTTCAACAACAGATTGGACAGCCATTTGTTTGGAATGGCAAGAGTCTCCTGCTTGAGCATGGGGTTGGACTAGAAAATGTCCAAGGTCCCTTCCAAGCCTGTTATTCTATGTTATTCTCTGTACTTCCCAGTAAAGCTAAAGCTTCCCACTGCTTCTTGGTTGGCCAAGCACAATTCTTCCCACAACATCCTCTAGAGAAATTAGATGCAGAGAGAGTGGAGCCTTCCAGCATTGCCATGCTTCCTTGAGTTTTATTTTTCTCTCTGCAAGTGACCTCCTTTCAGACAAGCAAAGAGGCATGCACACAGGAGACAATCATCCTCTTTTCATTTCTCTTACTGTTAAAAGGAAACTAGGCTGTAGAAAAAGAGAAAGCAGGCAGCACCCTCTGCTCAGTGACTTAACACTGCCACCTCTGTTTCTCCGTCCTTTTCTGTGTAAAGGATTGGTCATAGCAAGAACTGACATTTTATTCTCCCATTTTCCTTCTGGGCAACAGCATATAGGGATTCACCTCAGTGCATCAAATTTACAATAGTGCCATTCTGAGCACAAGGAACAATCTTCCTCTATGAGGTCAATCTCGTCTTCTACCATAAGGATTAAGCAGATGATGGTTACAGTATTTCCAAATGTTTACTTGCCTTCTCTTTCTGCCAGAGTAGCATCAGAACAATGTGTTTTTCCCCCAAGATAAGTGACAAGCTTTTGATTCCTACCATGCTACTGTGTGCTTTTATTTATTTAGCATATGGCAAATACATGGACTTATAGTAGTTCAAATGTTAATGTCCAGTCCACCCAGCCATTCAAGGACCAGGTGATCTATGTTGAAAAAAACAGACATTGGGCCAGTGTAAACTTTTGATGGACATTTGGACACAATGTGATAAATATTTTGTCAAGGAGCACCACAGTCACACTGAGGGGTAGAGACAAGACCCCACTTAAACAATGAGTCCTGACAGACACCATGTTGGGTATGGATCCTGTTCAGAGTTGACCAATGCTGGTGAGGAAGGTCAAAACCTGGTGCCTTTTGTGTAGGATCAACTATATCAGGGGTCGCCAACCTTTTGGACCTCAGGGACCACCAAACTCATAATTTTAGATCCCGGGGACCACTAACTGGTTCTGTGGGTGTAGCCTAATTTGTGGGTGTGGCTTGGTGGTCATGTGACTGGCTGGGCATGGATTGTATGTAAATATTATAAATATTTATATAAATATTGAATTTTTTATTTAAAAAAGAGCAACTTTTACCCAAAATCAGGCAAAGCAGGCAGGCAGATTGAGTTACTCATGGAATCACAGATTCATTCGGAAATCTATCTATCTGCCATTGGCTAGCTCAGTCTGTCACATAAAATTTGTTTGCAAGCAAACTCACAAAATTAACTCACAACACACCATGTATGAAAATACTGATTTTTTTATTTAAAAAAGAGCAACTTTTACCCCAAATCAGGCAAAGCAGGCAGATTGAGTTGCTCACAGAATCAGTCAGTGATCTATCTATCTGCCATCGGCTAGCTCAGTCTCTCAAATTTGCTTGCCATGAGTCTGCACTGAATTTGCTTGCAAGCAAACCTTCAGTCCTAAGGGAGGTTTGGCTGTACACTTAAAATTGGAGCCAAAGATCTAAAGACTAGCTAGAAAGCAAGAAATCCAACCATTTCCTGCTTCCTAGCTAATCTAAATCTCCCTGCACAGCAGAACAGATGATGGTTGGAAAAAGGAAAAATAGCAATTTAGCAGGCAAGTTTACCAGGTAAGGAGTGAGTGGGCAGGGAGGGTTCCCACGGGCCATGTGGGTGGCGCAGCCTTGTGTTTCTGTGCAACCTGGATTAATTGCTTTGTGGGGGTAATCTGGGGGTGAGATTTCTCTGCAACCCACCAAAATTTTCTCACGGCCCACCGGTTGGCGACCGCTGATCTATATAACTGCCTGTATCTGGGCATTCAGCACCCATTTGGCTTTCCACTGTGTGTTGATGTCAAAGTTGTTAGACAGCTGTTGAGCGAGTGCCAGAGAAGGCTTCCTGGATTTAAGCCTGCCAATTGATAGATGAGGAAGATCAGCATGCACAGAAAGAAGTGGGTTTCTCGTAATTTTGTTGTATTCCTTCACTAAGGCTCCCTGCTTTCATAGGGCTGGTGGTGCTATGTGGCTCAAGATGGGGAGCCAGCAAGTTGGAGTAGATTGTATGCAACTGCTTATGATCCTCATTGTATCATTTAGTCTAGTATCAATCTTGCTAGTGTGGCAGCTATTAAACCAAACAGGGGCGCAGTATTCAGCTGTGGAGTAGACCAACCCTGTTGCTGATAGTCTTGAGAGTAGAGTCTGTGTGCTGTGTGCTGGTTCAATCCTACTCAACTTTGCTGACAGTATCATTGGGTGTATCTATGTGTAGCAGGCTAGTTTAAAGGGTGACTAGGCCATCAACAGCATTCAAACAACTACTACAGTACTTCCCTCAAGGCTCCCTGGCATATTCTGCTTCTGTCAATCACTCCATGCTAGCCTGCAGCATTTTATCTACTTATGTATAATAATGATTTTGAGGAAATGAAGGTGTATTTTTTCATCTCTCCTTCTGGGTTTCTTTGGAATTTCAGAAAAAATGAATTTTTTTTCTCCCATCTGCAAACAGCTGTTCATTTGTGTTCTGAACAGCAAGGTCAATATTTTTGTAACCAATATTTTTGCTGCTTAAAATGAAAAAGCAGAGCTCACAAGTCTTGTCTGGAGTTATGTTTCCAATAGCAGTAGAAAAAACATACAGTAATTAAGATATATAGCTTTTCTAAATGATAGGGATTGTCTGAATGGGTTAAACTAATGACATACTAATTAATGTAATTTAAGAAAAAAACAGAGGGTGTTTGTATATATGTATATATGTGAGTATGTATGCACATATCCACTTAAATTAACTCCGCTGCCAAAGCACTTGCAATTACACTGAGGGTACGTTTTATTTTAATTTATGATTAATATAATTTTGCAAGCATCCATAGACTGAAAGTATTTGTGTACTTTTTACATTAAAATAAATTAATTTTCAGCATCTCATTGAAGACACTAGCATTTCTGTTTCTAACTGGTTTGTGATAAAAGCCATGTCTCTGCTTTATATATTTTAATATGAAAGGGTATTATTTATATTAGGGATAAATATTCTGGTTATTTGGCTTTTGTCTTAGCTGCCTTCTTTTTAAACAATGCTTTCATTAGGTTAAGACATTTCTAAATTATTCTAATAATCCTAATCATAGACTTTAATCTTGTTTTTACAGGTGACCAGTAACTGTTTCAGCATAAGCAATGGAGAAATGCAGGATGTTGGTGTTGGACTTTATCCCAGGTACAGTGGACAAGCATTACTTTTGTGGTTCTCTCTCTCTCTCTCTCTCTCTCTCTCATTCTCCCTCTCTCCTTCTCCCTCTCCCTCTCCTTCTCTCCCTCTCCTCCCCCTCCCTTTCCCTCCCTCCCCCCTCTCCCTCCCTCCTCTCTTTCTC